GGTCGGAGGTGGAGGAGGCGGAGCGGGTCTCCCAATGGGAGGAGGAGTCTCAGCCTGGGTGGTACCCTGCTGTGGGGGTAGGGGAATGAAGGTGGGAAGAAGAGGGCGGAGTCGTAATGCCACGACCGGTGCCGGAAGCTGGGAAGCAGCACCGGTATGGGTTGATGAAACTGCTGGGCCAGATGGTGGTATTTGGACCGCAGCACCTGCGGCAGCAGTAAAGACTGTAGGGGCGGCAGGGGCCAAAGGAGGTGCTGCAATAGACGGGGTGGTTTGAGCGGCAGCGGCACTCACCACTGCTGAGTGGGAGTGCTGGGCCTGAGCCACAGGGAAGGAAGAAACGCCACGTCCGTATCGCCAGAGTCGTGGGGAACCGGTCGGTGAGCCGACAGGGGATGGGGTGTGAGAGTGGAGGGGAGAGTGGTGAGGAGAGCCCTTGAGGCTGTTGACGTCAAGGGAAAGCACATTGATTTGCGCTTGCAATGGTCCAAGCGTACTAAGTTCCGCCTGGATTGCTACAAGGATGACATGAAGGTCCATGGTGTCCGCATGGGCCTGATCATGAGCCGCTGATTGTGCGGTGACCTGGAATGCGGACTACGCCGCGACGATCTCCTCGGTTGTAGCGCTCTCCGTGGGTAGTGGAGGATGAGAAGTAGACATGGTGGGAGGTGGGGGGAGATATGGGTTGTGGTATGGGGACAAGAGACCACCGGTGAGAGGGAGGGGACGACGAGAACGGAGTGGGTAGTCGTGGGTCAGCTCGCCCAGTGACCAGCGGGTCGCGCGTGAGATGGTGGTGCGAATCCGATCGAGGGAAGAGGAGCCATTCGAGTCAAGGGTGCCCGACGGGAGGAGGCGGGAGAGTCTGGGGGGGGGTTAGGAAAACCCTAAACCCTAGAAAAACCCTAAGAAAACCCTAACCGTAGTTTAGGTGGTCAAGGGAGGGTAGCGGCGACCTAATCAAGAAAAAAAAAAAAAAACTATAAAGGGGAGGGGGAGAGAAAATAAAATAAACAGTGAATTTTTGAGATAAAAATAAAATAAAAAAATAATAAGAAATAAATAAATAAATAAAATATAAAGAGTGAGGAGAGAGAGAGTATTTATTTTTTTGGAATTTTCGACAGCATATTCCCACCCGTCATGGGGTCAAAAATGTGCCAAAAGGAAGGAAAGAGCAAGAGGAGCACACTAACTTTCAAAATGCCGCAAATTAAAATTTTCAGAAAAATAAATAAATAATAAATAAATAAATAAATTGATAAATAAATAAGGAGGTGAAGAAGAGTGAAGAGAAACTAGGTTTTGAAAATTTTTAAAAATTTCGGCAGCATTTCGTTACCCCTAGGGGTTCGAACTGTGCCGCCTAGAAAAAGACCAAGTAAAATGGGAAAATTTGGCCAGCGCTTCGCTACCCCTAAGGAGTCATAATGTGCGGTAAGAAGAAAGTCGGGAGGCAAGACAATATTTCGGCAGCACTTCGTTACCCCCAAAGGGTCAAAATATGTATCGACAACTGAAAAGACTAAGTCCTAGCAAGATGTAGAGGTGTTGCAGAAAAATTCGAATTTTCAGAATAAATAAAATTAAAATTAAAATAAGTCAAAAAATGAAAAAAGAAGTAGGGAATAAGATAATTCAAATTTTTGGAGGAAAAGAAAGAATTTAAATCAAAGAGAAAAAAAAAAAACAGAAAGTTCGAAGTTGGGTGGGGGAGGGGGTGGAAAAGTGATGAAGAAAGAGAAATAGGTGAGAAGAGAAAGAGAAAGTAAAGTGGGAGATGATGGGGTTGTAGTCGGGGGAGGGAAGGGGGAGATGAAGAAAGAGAGAAATAGGTGAGAAGAGAAAGAGAAAGTAAAGTGGGAGATGATGGGGTTGTAGTTGGGGGAGGGAAGGGAGAGAGGAGGGTGGGAGAATGGGAGAGAAGGATACAGAAAAGGTAGAAAGGGGTAGATGAGATTAGCGGAAGATGGTGAGTGGGGAGGAGAGGAGAGAAAGAGGTTGTAGAGGGTGGATGGAGAGGAGGGTAGGAGTGGAGAGTAGTGGTAGGGGGGAGAAAAAATGATTAGATGATGGGGGGGAAGAGAGAAGAGGTTGGGAGAGTGGGTTAGTGGTAGGATGGTGATACCGCGCTCTTGGGTGGCCAAGAGCAGAGCACTACCAAGATCCACAGGATCTTGGCCTTGAAGATGCAGCTGGCCTGATGCCACTGCAATAGAAGAAAAAAAAATATGGGTTGGGATGAGATCTGGATCAGCCACCCAGATGCTCCTGTAGTCCAGCCCCCTAACCAGGGGGGTCTTCAAGGTCCACGGCAAGCTACCACGTGGTAGTGCAGCGAGGCAGCACGTGGCAGTCACGTGCGCAGGCAACAGCACCCACCGACCGAGGTGGGGGGGGGGGGGGGGGGGCAAATGGGTTTGCCGATGGGGGGGGGGGTAAATAGTTGTTGGGCCACCTCTTTAACAGCAGCAAGGCACAATATCAACTCATATTGTGGCTTTGGCAAGTGTGTTAAGGCACTGGTCACGCACGAGCATGAGCACCAGCTGCCCAGGTTCAAACCCTGGCAGCAGCATCATCCAAGATCAAGATATCGGGGAGCAGGGCATGGGGGGCAGCGGGGCAGCGTAGGCGCGTGGTGCGGGCGCGTATGGTGGCCTTGGCCTTGGCGCTTGCGCGCACGCGTCGTGCCGACTCTCTCCTTTTTCACCATGTGTCCGTCTCTCCACACTCCTGCTATTTCCGCCGTTTTTCGCTGTTTTTCGCCCCAGAACACCCTGAAAATCCCCGTATCGGGATTACACCAATTTCCCGCTGTTGCGGGGGGGGCAGGGAGGGCGGGTTAGAACGGGGACCGTTCCCACTCGGATACCAGTGTGTCGGACCGCCATCGTGGCAGTCCGACGAGATGGAGACGAAGGGGTAGAGGAAGGAGAAAGTGAAGATGGTGCTGGAAGGGACAGCGCAGCTCCGACGCAGACTCAACACCGCACATACTCCAACAAGTGCAAAAATAATGAATGATGAAAAACTATACCCCCAGCGGACTAACTGACTGGACTGGAGTGGCCTGGTACCAACAATGGCACCGGGCCGGACTGGAACAGTACACGGCCTGTGGGGTCAGGCCACGGCCTGGTCCCACAGGCCGAACTCGCAAATAGCCAAATAGGCCCTGGCTGTAGGCCAGGGCAGATGGAGGCCCACTGCAACTGGGAATAATATTGTCTCTCAAGATAGAGCGTACACGACTCCTTACCAAAGAGAGGACACTGAAATTGGACTCACTTCCTCACGGTAATAAGAGATTCGGAGGGTTGATAAGGAATGGGAACAACGTACCTAGAGATAGCTGCCCTCAACTAGAGATTTCTCACCAATTGGGCCGACGTGCATTTCGATGACCGGTCAATACCCTTGGTACCACCCACAATGCAATGCAGTGCCACCTCAGCCAAAGTGCCATGTCAGCATACTCTCATCATCATACATACACCCGCTGTTGCCACAACTCCCACGATGTCGCCACAACCTTCCAGCGGGCGACCCCTCCACCTGGGCCCCGCTATAACAAGCCAGCGCCAAAGTATCCTTACTGCACATGAAGCATCGTTAGCGCACCAAGTAACAATGTCGCCAGCGCCAGGTAAGCGGCAATCACGGACCAACTCCGATAAAGGAATATGAGTGTGAACAATATACAGAAACCAAGTTGTGAAATCACACAGATATCTGAGTAGTCGTGTATAATCAAAGAGCACAAATGCACCGAGAATCCATCCAAATAGAGCAATACAATGAAGCTATGAGCCAATGTCCAAGCCCATAGGCCACACCAACACAGTATCCAAAGTCGCTCCTCTTTGTCTGGCGCCCAACGCCCAGCCTACTCTACTCGCCTATCCTTCCCTGAAGACCACCAGATCACCCTCTTACCCTCTGGTGCCCAGCAGCCCGGCTATGGCTGTTTGCGGCCCGCTGGCCTTCAGCGCCCCAGTTCACCTCTACGCGCCCCGTCAGCGCCCTTGGCCGCAGTGCAGCATCAAGCAGTAGCGCAGCAGAACTCCCGCATTGCCTACGTAGACCAGCATGCCTGCCTTGGCTGCCTGACTTCCTATATGGAAGTGGCAGCCTCCTGGATGCAGCGTGTGGCTTGGCTGGAAGCTTCCAGTAGCTTCCGATTGAGCCTCAGTCCATGCGCCCAGGCCCGAGACTACAGTTGAGGGTCTGGGCCCCTTTACAGTTGGGCAGGGCCTGGGTCTCCGGACTTGGGCTGTTTGCTGCATCTGTGCAGGGCTCTCAGGTAGGTGCCGTGACAATACTGTAGTCTCAGGCCGGGGCCCCTTTACAGTTGGGCACGGCCTTAGTCTCCGGACTTTGGGCTGTTTGCTGCATCTGTGCAGGGCTCCCAGGTAGGTGCGTCGACAGTACTGCTTTTGCATAGGCCGATAGCCTGCTTCTCAGCTTGAATGTATCGGCCGACCCAAACCACCCCCCCCCCCCCCTCGTTGAATCAGTTCCTCCGACCCAAAATCCCCGCCCCCAACCCCCGCCCAATCTGTTTTTTTTTGCTTTTTTTTTTTCCTTACATTTTGTGGTTTATTTATTTATTTGTTAAATTATTTATTTTTATTGAATGATTGAGTGATTGTTGGGGGAGGGTTGCCCA